TTTGCCGTTGATCAATCCCTTTTGGGATGCGGCACGCATTCTACTTCCATTTGTACATTCGTAGTGGCGTTTGAATGCGATGTGGCCTATACAATGACTTGCGGGGGCCAGCCGATGTACAAGTCAGTGTTTTTATCCTCCCAGACAAGTCTGGTACCAATTAACCGACCCCGGAGGGATGGTCAACCCGGCGCGGCCGCAATCCCAAGTTGTGAGCGCGCCCCCTTCCTTTCGGGGGGGTATCGGTACGACCCCCCATATTAACTATCATGTCTTTCACATAATTTAATGCTCATCAATGCTCATCAATGATGGCAGTCACCAACATGGAGAAGTGGTGGACCGTGGTCAATCCGCGCGCTCTGTCTCGCTCAGAGGAGGAAATCGAGGCAAATGAAGTTTTATTCATTAAATAGAAGGAATTTTCAAATTTTTGCGTAAACCAATACATCATTTTAATCGTAAAGATTTCTACTTTCAGAAACCCACCAGGATTTTTTCGATCTCTCAACTTTCCTTACCTTATAATCTGAAAAACTAAACCTTGTAGCAATTACATTGCAATCCAAACCCCTCCATTCAGAAGGTTATATTTTCTTTCAGAAGCTGTTTCATGAAATCGGACACCAAAATTTTGAAAATATAAATAGTTTTCTTCCTGAGGAGTATTTGAAATGTTGTGGATGTTCAATATTTCAAAAAATCGTCCCGTTGTTCCGTTTTCTGTGCACACGCGAGTTTTTGACATTCAAACATTCATAACTTTCTTCATAATCAACTTTTTGCAAATGTCTAAGGCTAATTAGAAACTAGAAGATTAGAGCTTTCGAACAAGCACCTGAAAATTTTCCAGCGATCATTTTTTCAAAAAATAGTCCCGTTGTTCCGTTCTTGGGTGGTTTGGGGTCCGATTTTTGAGAAGGCGCGAGTTTTCGACATTCAAACGTTAATAACTTTCTTCATACTCAACATTTTGCAGATGTCTAAGGCTAATTAGAAACTAGAGGATTAGAGCTTTCGAATAAGTGCTAAAACTTCTTGAAATAATCACTCGCTCAAAAAATAGTCCCGTTGTTCCGTTTTTCCACCTTGATTTTTTTCAAGCCATTTTCCTGGACCGCGACTATGCAGTCTTTAAAGGCCCATAACTTCCTTTGAATGTGATGAGAAGCGGTAAAGATTGTTGGAATCCACTCGAAGAGTACTTCATAACAGCTGTGAAATTTCCCTGAAATTCCTTCTTCTGCCTCAATTTTCCTACGGCGTCTCTAGAACTCAATTCAGCAAATTCGCTACACTTTGTTTCGCTTAGATTTTATTTGAAAGCATCAAAACTCTCTTCAGAAAGTTTGTCTGCTTACGGCCGCTGACAGAGGAGGCGTTTTTATGGAAAACGCCTGCTCGGGTATACGCCGTGCACCTATCTGTGGGCAGAGTTCGCACTCGCATTTGAAAGTCTTCTGTTTTCCTGAAGAAGGTGTTAGTATCCTGATTGAGTTGCATTGTGCTGTTATATGGCACTCTTGTTTCACTTTCCCATGAACTGCTCTACACTTTGTTCTCCTCGGGATTTCAGGAATGTTTCATCATCGAAGACAGACCATGTTTTTGCACTACACTGTAACAAAGTTTTTGGCTATTGTCTATTGTACTCTTGATCTATGCCGCGGAGCAAAAGCGCCGTCCGGATAGCGTCGCTTAAGGATAATAAGCTGATGGTGAGACTTATAGTGCTCTGCATGCTTTAATGCTCCCATGGAGCTCATGTCTGTGTGACTCTCCGACAGCGTGCAGAGCTCCTGGAGAACATTAGAGGCTGAAAGTGCACTCCCGGACACTGCACTTTTCAAGCCGTCTTGCAGCCCGTCTGTGGATACGACCCCCTCCCTTTTCGGTCGGCTGAATACGACCCCCTCGTTGTTCTTTGCGCAACGCAGGGTTTGACCCTGACCCCGGAGGGATGGAAGGCTTGGTTGGCCCGGGCGACTCACGACCCAGGATTTGATCCCCGGACCGCTCGCGTGGTGAGCGCGCCACTTGTCACTACACCACTTCCGCCCTTCTCTTCTCTCATACCTCAGAAAAATATTGCAAGCCCTCACCTTTATTGTTTTCGATGCATTCTTTCTTTTTCACTGCGACACCAGTTTGATCCTGGTACGTGCATTTAGCGCTCTTCTGTATTGATTTTAGTAGTTTGGAAGCAGCACCCTAGGCGTGAGAGAAATCACCCAGCCTGATGGATCACCATACAGTAGTTTCTCTCAGCACCGTAAAATCGGGAGTCTTCAGCAGTTACTCCAAATAGATACTCTCTTTTCTATAACCGTGCATGCACTAATTACAGACCCAACAGCACCCCTACTGACGGTCTCGGAGAAGCAATATTGCTTGTGCTTTCTGTTGCTTTCTGATCGCATTTGGCAATATTACTTGGAAATTTCGGGACGCGTTCAGAGATTTGATAATATTTCAAGCGATCAATGTTATGGCTCAATTTTCTTTTTCCAACTTTTCAAATTAGAATTCTTTGGTTAATTTATAAACCGCCTTGAACGTTCGAACGGCGTAGAAGAAGGGTTACCTTACTGAACCGACGCATTCTCTCAAGAAGCAAGGCAGATGTAGCAAGAGGGACGCTCGTCCTGGAGAACCTGCGAAGCCAATATCACTTACGGGTAGAAATCGAGTAGAAATAGTCCCGTCTAGTAAATTAGATCGACTCTTGGTTTATAAATAGTACTTGAGAAATATTGTAGTTGTGAGTAGATATAGCCGCTGAAGGTTTCGTGGGAAACTACGATTATTGCTCCCGAGTGAACAGAACTGAATAGTGAAATCTTGGTAGAGAAGGAGAATTACAGATTCCGGTGCTTCCTAGATCCTAGAAAACGAGCATAGGAACTGAGGAAGCAATGTGTGGAGAGAAACGAAAAGCGAGTGACTGCGAAACGGCGGCTGGCTGGCCTAATCTTGACAGATGATCTAAATCAGAGCCCAGTTTTTCATAACGGTAAGCCCCTTTATCTTGCCACGTCGTCTCGATGTGCTAAACATTCTTTACTCTACTGGCGACCGAAAAAGTCGAAACGCGAAGGAATTCATCAGCGGGGCTGGAGTATCTCTGAGCTGAGGCAAAGGTGGAAATAGTCCAATGGCTGAATATTCCGAAGCAGCACCAGGCGATGGGTAACACATGTATCGTCTTATGCCAAGTTCTAGTCCCTATGACATCGTGATGTGGAGAAAGGAGAAAGACGTCCAGGAAGACGAGAAGCGCTGTTTCTCAGAAAGTTTCGCTCCATTACATTGACATTCAAATGCCTCCTCTGCTCCAAATCCAGCGTTCAAGGGCCGCGTAACCTGAAAACTCGCCAGTTCTTGCCAAGCGGATTATGCTCTGACAATCAAGTGAAAACAGAAGCAACAAAGGGGCTTGGAATGGCCCAGAACAAATGCATGGGATTTTGGAGCCATTTTGTATGAAATTTTGGCCATTTTAATGTAAGTAATTGTGAAAAATGGGCCAACAATGAAAAAACGCCTAAAGGCAAGTGATCACGATAAGGAGAAGCATATGCACCACACGAAGCAGTTACTTGGCTGCCAAGGAAGCGAGGTGTGGCGCTTTCACGACGAAAGGTGCGCTGGTTGCTGAGCAGGACTTCGAAAGCACTCCGCCCCCAAAAGCGATCCGCCCACTAGTTTAGTTGGTGATTTGGACGAGCTGCGTTGCCAGCAGCGGCACAACTGGAGCAACTCGATTGGAGCGTGGTTTGGCATGCTGCCACCAAACGCATTGCGTGAACTCGTTCATACGTCCGATTTCTGAGCTGATTACCTGTTCATGAGTGAAAAAGAACACAGGAAGGGGTCCAGTTGTTGCGTCTTCTTGACGGATTTCTCCGCTTTTCTCGCCACGCGTGCCATAAAGCACCATCACGCCTCCTTCAAACCCTTCTCGAATCTATCGTAATCGCTGCCTCCAATAAGGGCTTGCTCACTTCGTAAAGCGGCTGTGCTGAGGCAATGAGAGACTGAGCGCGCAGAGGAGAAGCACGAGGGTGAGGGAGCGCTACAGACGAGAGGGCGGCGCCAGACAGCAGTCTGCAGCAGACAGGTAACACTAAAGCTGCTGCAGCTAACTCGACCCTGACGCCCTTGTCGGGTTTTATCCATGCACGGGAGTGCCCTATCTGAAATTAAGGATTAAAGAGGCGCATCTCTACGCAGAACCAAGGGATCCTTCACACGAACAATGTAAGTAGTCACAAGGTAATCCAGATCAAGTTCGCATAAAATGGCAATATTGCACCTCCAACATTTGTTTGTGCTGCTTTCGATATTTCCTATGATAATCTATAGACCACTCATATATCTAGTACAACATATTACCAACGTTGTCTTGAGTGAGCATCACCATCAATAAAGTAATCGACTAATCCAAGTGAGAGCACTATCTAGGTCTAAAACTTTATTTGACAAACAATCAATACCAAGTATTCGATACAAGATCATAATTTCAGGAACATTTAGCTCAACAAATAATTGCCTACAAGTGAAACACCGAAAATCTTCACAGTTTAAAACTATAGCTTTAAGGAATGAAAGAATCACAACAAATTTATTCAAACAGAAGTGAAGTCAGATAAAACAGCTGGAAAGCGTATCATTCAGGGGCTCTGTTTGAGGCACACATAGAGTGAAGCCAAACAAGTAATAGAGTGCTAACCGAAAGTCGAGGATAACATAGCACAATCTTTGGGCAATTATCTCACCTGGCAAAATAGACTTGTGCTCACGGCAATTGCTAGCCTTGATTACCTAACCGTTCATAGCCTAGTAGACAGCAAGAAGAGGGCAGTCTTAAGATAGAAGCATGCCGAAGGAAAATGGTAACCGTTACCTCTCATTTCTCACTTTTTGGCGACCGTAGACTAAATTCATCGAAAACGTCACACCCAGACGATCCAGTATATTTACCAGTACTTTTCTTGGAATTACGCAAACTGCTTGTCGGCTCGTGACATACGTTGTTGTAATTCATCCTAAATAGAATCAACCATGAAAACAAGGGAATGAAGTGAATAAGAAGTTCACTGCCGATTAGGCTTCGAAAGGCCCAACAACAATCCTTATCAAAGAATAATAGGCGGGCAGCAGGAGGGGCACGGATCTACCACTACTAGCCTCTGCGTCAGCTTTAGTTCAACATTACGTGTCCTTAGGTTGCAAGAAAAAGGGTCAATGGACCGACCACGATACAGATTAGGAGGTTCATGCCTCAATAATGTGAACCATCTTCCATCTCGGCGTTAGCGAGCTTCCACCCTATGGGTGTCACCACCACGCCACAGCCCTCCTACCCATCGCTCCACCTCTGCCTGGCGTGATAGCTCATGTGTGTATTCATGCCTCTGACATCTTGGCTGTACCATTCACAGAAGTTTTAATTATCAGCACGTAATCCCAAAGGAACCCCACAACATCAGCGCCACCCGATTATAGGCTCAAGGCTATAAATTGTGTAAGAACTCACAATTAGTACAGGTTGCAATGACAGTAGGTGATTATACAGGTCGTCATTTTCCGGCTGGCGCAACCACTTTAGAAACACGTCCGTCATACCGTCCAAGTCCTGTAAAACACAAGTACCAATACACATGCTGAGCTAGTTTGGTTGGGGCGCAGCATGTGAATAACACAATGAACTTTCAATGCGGTCGAACATATAGGTAAAAGTTCTGAAAGTCAAACCAGTAGGTCAAACCAATCTGTGCTTTCGGGAAATTTCCAAATAGAGCAATTTAAAACCATCATCCAAACTAATTACCTTCGGCAAGATTCCTGTGTCGTCGATCATGCTCTCCTCTATTGGTTCTTCACGTGGATCATTCAACGTCTTGTCTCCGAGATCAATAAAGTCGTCTGTAATTGCGCACAATTTTGAATTCACAGAATGAAAAGGAGAATGAAGTTGCTAAAAGTCTCTCAGAACACACTGTATGGGCGGACATTGCTCCCTTGTTTAGCCCCCCCCCCTCTCTAACGTATTATAGGTACAAAAAGAATGCAACTTCAACAGAATCCCGGAAAGCAACTATTAGGTAATGGTCCAACCCATATATGCGGGTCCCGATTCCTCAGAACCCCGTTTCCCTACATAGGAAGGTTGGCATCCAATAGACAGCTCTTTTCAAAGTTTTAGGCTAACTCACCATCGTCATTGTCATCTACGCTTGACCTCTGAGGCTCAGATGTTGATGGTTTCTCAGAAACTGTCGCTGTAGCCTCTTTAGATGCCGTCACCGGCTTGCCTCGTTTTCGTGGATTTTTCGGCTTTGCAAAGCGAGATGACACCGGTGTGCCATCACCAGTCTTCTCAACAACTAGTGGCCGTACAGTCGGTGTGAATGGATCGATCTCTAATATATCTCGCATCACAGAAAGACCGAACTGCTCTCAATACGAGTAAGTCTGGCAGTGACTCACCAGGATGTACTTCTGTGTAGATCTGTTTCAGCATTGCAACCGCTCTTTTCCTACCCATGGGTTTCAAGCCGAATTTGGCCAAAAAAAAAAAAAACGCTTCCCCCCCACCCCCCACGCTGGAAGCGGCTAACATTACCCATGAAACTGAGTGGACCGTACGAAGGGTAGGTGAATAACTACATTACTTTGATATAATCAGAGTAGAGTTATCCCTACCTTCAATTCGTCGTCACTCATGCCGTCATAATTAGGCATTGGCGTAATACCAGAAGTCTTGAGAATCTTCACATTTGAGCCAAACCTGAGAATGCGAGATATGAAGCTTAGAAACTGGAGCTTCTTGAAGCATTCTTGAAAAACGATAGGAGCCCCCGCCCTTCAATGGAACAAAAAAAACCAAAACCCAATAAATATTGAAATCAAACTCACTTCGCCTTCTTCCTGACAGGTTGCACGGGTGTCGTCTGTTGTGACATCGATTGAAATCGAGTCTACTGATTCACGTGTTCCAACGCGATCCTGAAAAAGGATAAGGATAACAAAAGAGCATTATTGCCCAGCGCTAGCTCACCTCAACTTCACCTGTTTCCTTGTTCAGAAATACAGGTGTGTCAAAGAATGAATCCTGGGAAGCAGGCGCAAACCTGAACATTTGCATGTCTTCATTATCAATTCGCCGCTCATGTCCCTGAGGAGGATATTGAAGTGAGTGGTCCCCTCAGAACTCGTGATTCAAGCTTTAGGAGGGAAAGAATCTGGAAAAGGATGTGGGCCGCCATTGTTCCCCTTGGTGTTTATTTCCTAAATGGAGCTAGTCCTAGGGCAAATTATCAGCGGTTTTTGAATGCCCCTCTAAAGACATGAGCGTCATCAATTCCATCAATCATGACATTCTGCTCATCCACAAATGTGCATGCACACTTGAAATAAACTGAAATTGGGAATGGCGTAAGCAGTTATTCAGCTCCAGCTAGCCTTCAGCATTTTACGCTTGATCAATCGAATATTTGAGTACACTCACGAGCGTGTTTTTGTCGAACACTTACCGTAGTACGTGGTCTCAAATATGAAAAAAGTATTTATGAAAAGAGAAAACGAGTTTGGATGGACCTTACTTATAAATGAAGAGCTAACAATGAACAATGGTCTGTGCTTCGAATGAAAGGCAAACATGTAGAAGCTATGGTGGACATCCCTTAGTGCAGAACAGCTTGAGGCGATAAAAAACGCGCAGCAGTAGATGACTGCCTTGCTCAAGTTTCTACATTATCACAACAATATTAATAGCACTTAACTGGGCGCATTTCGGACGGGCTGTTATCGGTGTTTCGGTCCGGGAATGACCCTGCTCCAGGTGATGACTTGGTGATCGTCTGATAGAAGTTTGTGGACTGCAATGAAGCCATAATACCTAAAGACCATACTCCACTGTTTGGCAGCATTCATTCAAAGCCCTTAATTTTGATCACATAGAATTTTCAAAAAGTAACATACAAGGGGGAATACAGTCCATATATGAGAGTTGGGGTAGGCGGGTCACCGGAATGACGTGGCGGCAGCCACACTTGATAGATGTCGCGCGGATAAGCTGCTTGCCCATACATCGCTGGATATCAGCAAAGCGTGCTGGCAACAGCTTATCCACGCAACTTCTATCAGTGCGGCAGCAGTCATGCCACTTTAGGTAACACGTCCTACATCAAACTCTTGGATATGAACAATATAAAGCTGGCGATTGATGCCATAAGGGTTCGAAAACCGACTGTACATGGAGGAAAAGTCATTGTAATCGGATCAAGGCGCTTCAAAATCACTCAGAGCCGAAGCATTTACGGAAAAAGAAAGCTACAACCCACTGGCGGCTGCCTTATAGATCCTCGATGAACGACGGCGACCAGCTTTATCCAATGGTGATTTCTCAGCATCATCCTTTGCAGGTTTCGAGGCAGACTGTGATGGTGATTGGTCTGAAGCTTGAGTTTACAATGGTTACAAACTACTCTACTTACATGGTGAGATTACTTTTTAGTGTGAAACATTTTGTTTTCTGACAAAAGTTGCTCCCGAACTATTATAATGACTTTTTCATACTCACCGTTCATCTCAACAGGATCGTACCACGGTTCCATGAATGGATCATGATATTCAAAGTACTCATTTCGGCTAGTAGGATCCATTGGATACCGCCGTATACCTTTGCGGGCGCGGTTCTCCCCAGGCAGACGATGTCAATCACTATCACCACTCCTTCGGAGGTTCTGCTTCAGTGTCGGTGCACGCGGAACACACGGCGCGCTTTCACGCCCATCAACAACTTCTTCAGGCTTTGACACCGGGTCCTCTTCTGGCGATAGATTACTGAATAAGAGTTGGACTAACAAGTTTTGAGATAATTTGATAGAAGTTTCCGAAGAAAACTTAGAAATAATTACATTATTCCGTCGTTCAGTGAAAACCGTGCCGCTGAAGATCTTCTGCTTCGAGAGCAACTCCGCAATGGAGTCAAATCCAACGTGATGACCGTATCTGCAGAAAGATCCTATGTACATTCAGTAGCAACCTATATATGTCAGGGTAATAAAATCAATTGAGAAAATGACCGATGAATGATGACATTTTGTCACACTAAATTCTCGATAAAAACAGAAGAGTGAAGGTATCACTTTGTGACAAAAAAAGAAGAAGGAATTGGATGAACAAAAATGAAAGCCATATATTGACCAAGTAAAAATTATTAATTAATAATTAAATTGTTTACTAGTTAAATTAACAATGGTTGTGTGGCTAGGAAAAAAATAAAAATTGGCCAAAAAAGCGAAACAGACAATAAAATCACCTTTTTTAGCACCATCCCTGCTCTTTTCATCAAAGAGATCCAGGCTATTACTGCTACTGGTCGACGCCTTCGAAGACTGCACTTCATCGGGAATACTTGAAGGAGTTGAATTATCCTCGGTAGAAGCTGATGATATCACCTACAATAACAAATTCGATTTAGGTGAAATTTTGTGATGTAATTAGAGCCAAAAAGGCATAGTTCCAGATTGGAACCATGCTTCTTGTGATCCTGATTACAATACAAATTCATGATTAGCTACGATTTCGAAAGGAAATGCTGGAATTTAGACGCGACGTACAAAGTATAATACATAGATGGCTGTTCAACAAGAAAAGGAAATGCTTTAGCATACCACGTCTTCAACAGGGCTTGAAGCATCGTCAGTGCCTTTACTGATTCTCGAGTCTCGACAAGAGAGCTGGAGGTTTTGACAGTTTCAGCTTATCGGTTGGATCTGCCAATCAAAATCGACGGGCAGTGCCTTATTAGCACCAGGGGTTTGAGCTCATCGCAAGAGAGAATGCATCAATTACCAGAGAAACGCACACTAACCGAGACTTTTTGATCTCATCGGAGTCCTGCCTACAATGACGCAGTCATCTTCCAACGACTGCTCGGCTGTTGTCTGATCAAGTGATATGCCTTGAAGTGGATTTTCGTAGTCTAAGAGTTTATATCGCCTGTAATTATCAAATAGGAAGTTTTCCGCGTCGCCCAAGTATATATTAGATTATGTACCGGGTCTTTTACGGTCGACCTTTCCCTCAATTCAATCTTAAGCACTTCTGGAATGACGACCTCGGTGTTTGGAGCAGGTGGCTGGGTCTGACATTGCCGAGAGGTTGATTGTGGCTAAATAAGGACTATCATGGGGTCTAAAATGTTGGTTAAGCTTAACTGTGAATAATTACTGCCTCACGTTTACCAATGAACACAAAATTAAATTAATTTTTAGATCCTCCACTTAGAGGAGCCGATGAAAAGGCAGTTCATTGGTAATTAGGTTAAAGATGGCCGGCGATGCACGATAGACGAGAAAAATCAAGAAAAACGTTGGAAGCTAGGTGTTGCTGACTGGTAACTACTTGGATAGTTTTATTGTCTTACAGGCATTCCGGTATGAGACGATGGGATGTCTGCTTCGCTTGTTGCACATTCACTATCCAAACTGCACTCTGGTGTAGGATCTCGAGTACGGACCAGCTCGATCTGCTTTCGAAGGAGCACGCATGCGCGATGCGCACAAGATGCAAGTCATCTCAGGAATGGGAAATCGAAAACAACAACTGCCGATAATCCTAGGATCGGTACCTGGTCCATATGCTCCGCTAAGTTGGCGAATGTTTTCTGTATCCTCGTAGTCCCTTCTTACGCGACCCAACATAGCGCAACCACATCAGGACAATACTGAATGTTCGTGCTCATGTTTATCAAGCGAAAAACATATGATACCCAGTGAAAAAATTTCAAGCCATAAATCCGAACCTACTTTCTGGTTCTCACTGAGTTGAATGCTCATTGAGTTAATTTGAGATGTAGAAGTGCCCAAAAGTCTTGTCCGTAAGCGAAGTAATAGTCGATGCGCACAAATATTTCCTAGGATCAATAAATTTAGATTGAGGGATATAACTAGATGTGTCATCGAAAGGAAGTGTGTAAGCCAGACGTTTGACTCATCCTTCCAAGTTACTACTTTTCTCATTAGTTTTGCGCGGAGAATTCACGGTTCGATTGAGGGAGAAGAAACCAAGTTGAATTCGACGAGAGTAGCTCCCGATGTAGGAGATATGAGATAGTAACCCACCATCCGTACATTGTATGCGCACGTCCGACGTTTCTTCCTGGCCAACAGACAATCAGATCTTGTGAGAAGCCGTTCCAAACGCTCCAACTGAAACGCCATTTTTCGGCATAAATTTCTCATTCGTCGCTAGGCCGTTTCTAGCGAAAAAAGTATCACGAGAAAGAATCAGGATTCAGAAATATGATTAGAATTGAATTTTCAACATATTCAATAGATTTGAATCAAAAATAATTAGAGTGAAAATCAGCAATATTCCTCAAACAGGTGTGGCAAGAAAAGTAGTAGGGAAAAAACCGTCTCCGAAAAAGATTCCAGTAGATAAAAGGTCATGAGCGAGGCTTTTTAATAGCAGTGATGAGTTTTTTGAGAGCGTGTGAATCCCTGCTCAGTGGCTCATGCAAAAATACCATTAAAACAGCGGGTAATCAGCGTAATTTATCATACCTTTTGCAAGAGACGGGTCTGATTCTGCATGAACACACTGGTACGAGCAGCTCGACGCTTGCAGAACTCCGTATGAGACAAGGTTACTCCGTTGGTCTTGCGAACACGGAACGTCTCCAGAAAACGATTTTGTACTTTTTGAATCACCTGAAATAACAGGATATCATTCACCGGTCACAGACCACCTCTATTACCAGTAAAACGACTTCAGAATATGAAGGTGCGCTTTCGACATAATTGTAAAAAAAACAAGTTTGAAAAAAAAACTGTCTGCCACCAAACAATTGAACCATCGGTCAGAATCTCACGGAGATTGGATGAAAACTTTTGCATAGCTAAGACCAACAAATATCTGGCGTATTTCTTGTACGAAATAACTTCATTATTTCTACAAGGATTAGTACTAATTAAGCCATCACCTCGCACCTACAGGATCGTGGGGCCAGTTCCACAACGGCATAAGATCGCGGCCGCTTGCGTCTTCTCTCATTAGCATCGTCGATGATTCTGTAACATAGTTTGCAGTTGTGCCTCGAAGGAACAGAGCGAAGCGAGTGAAATGCCGGACTGAACATCTCTCACTTAACGGAATACTTATCGAAAATGTTCGTAAGGTGCAATATCCAAAAGGTCTTGAAGAACAACAACTACAGCTTTCTCCAACTTCTCTCTTCTTGTAACCTCGGCATTAGTTGTTCTTGTTTGTGTATTTTTCATGTGCCATACGAGGTTGATAGGTGGAACGTTTATTTGATCGGCCTTACGTTTCGACAGAACCGTCGTCCTCAGAGGTCCAGGGCTCCACCGTTTGCGCGCTCTGGACTTCTGAGGACGACGATTCTGTCGAAACGTAAGGCCGAACAAATAAACGTTCCACCTGTCAATCTCGTATGGCACATGAAAAATACTCAAACAATAACTACAGCTGGTGACTTACAAAGCTCTCTCAATTCACGATCTAGCCAAAATTAGACGATTTACAGAAAATCACCTACCTTGTGAACTGTGGCGAACTGTCATGAACTGGATCGAAGGATTGTGAATCCAAACTTGCTGAGAGCGCTTTTGCAAGCTGGATGTTTTCATCGAGTAACGACTTCGGCTCACCTTTTAACTTCGGCGGTAGTACCTCTTTCTTTTGGGGAATGGGTGCCCTGAAGTGTTATCGAGACCCTTCGAGAAGAAGAACAAGTCATAGAACCTACTTGGTGTGTATCATACTGTTCCGTTTCTTAACATCCGAGACAAGGCGCTGAGTTTCCATTAGCCTGAGCAACTCCTTCGGAGCAATATTGTAGGTTTTGCCGCATCGCTTCGCGTGAGCCGCTCGATGCTTAAAAGGTTTACAAAATGTGGATGTTCGTTGAACTGATAGGCGGTTCACTTACGGTACTGTCTGTCAAGATCTAAGTGGAAACCACCAAAATAAGATTATTGTTGGAACTTACAGGTCCAGGAGGTTGTGGCTCCCCACACATGGGACAGTCTATAGTGCCTGTCCATTTTTCTTTGGCTTTGGCCATGATTTGACGATGATTCTTGAGCATCCAAACATTTATTCACGTGAGCAACCCTAAGAAAACGCCAATCTATTAGAGCGGTAGGTTAGCAGAAAAAGCCAGCAAGGAAGAGTAGGCCAGATAGTTATCGCTAGCCGCTAAAAATTATATTTAAAGGAGGAATTCACGATTAGAATGAAGGTCGAAGAAAGGGAAACTGACCTAGTTGAGGGACCCACGGACCTCCTGAGGGTGCGAACTGACGCGCAATTCGCATGGAAAAATTTGACCTCGGCGACCTATCATGCCTCAAAGCTGGCGGGTCCGGCGATCTCCGCCCACCGATCATCTGATCACTCGCCGTAGTTCAATACGTGGCGAGTGATTAGATAGCTGAGAGAGCGTAGTGTTGAAGAGGGCACAGCGATGAGAGTCGCATCAATGCTCGAATCAACGGGCAAGGAAGGGGTACCATTTCTCGGGTTCTGGGCCGTTTCTCATGGTTCTTCCTTCTTTCGTGTACCACTCACCATCCCTAGGTTAATTTGAAATGGGTTGCTTTTTCATCGTGAATTCGTCCTTTAAGGTCAGGCTTTATGAGCCTTTTTACAGAAGGGTCGGATAGGCGGATCGAGGGGTGGGTATAACCTACTAAGCTGTTGTCATACCTCACCTCTTCCCTATCAAATGGAGGGATTTCTTGGGTTTGAGGGCACGTCCT